CTGGCAGACTTGGTTAGGCTCTCCGTGAGAGCCGTGTGGAAGTTCGACGAAGATTTCGGCGTCAACAGGTGCGTAGAGGAATGCGTTGGCGACATCGATTTGCCGCAGTTTCTTCTTCTTCATGGCAGCGATCGCGAGGAGAATTCGTAGTGAGGTGTGTCGGCTGACCGGGGCGAATGTCTCGGTGAAGTCGCGTCCGTGCTCTTGGTCGAAGCCGCGTACGACCCAGCGCGTCTTAAACTTGTCGATGGTGCCGTCTGCCTTTGTCTTCACACGGAACACCCATTTCCCGGTGAGTACTGTCTTGTTTCGTGCCACGCCGATGGGAACGACTTTCCAAGTGTTGCGTTCCTCCAGTGCTTTCAGTTCCCTGTCCATGGCTTCACGCCATTTTTCCCTATGCTCCCCCCCCAGAGCCTGCTGAACTGTGGCAGGCTCCTTAGGAATCTCCGTGCCGTGGACCGCGGTGACGAGGCCGAGTATCTGGAGGCCACTCTGTGTGTAGCAGGGGAGAGTTGTGTCCGCGGGATAAGCTGCTTCGTCACCTGCTTCTGGGTCAGGTATGAAGTTGGGCCCTATGCGTTCTGCTTTGTTGGTGTTGACTTCTGCAGGTGTAACGTAACCGTTGTCGGCGAAGTGGTAAAATACTTCGGCGTTGGCGCTTTTGCGAGGATTTTCGTCATCCATTGGGACGTCGACGGAGCAGTAAGGGAGAGGCCCGGCTTCCTCCGAGGCTTCATCCACGTTCTGCTCGTCCCAGTCAGCTTCGTCTGCTGCCGAGGCGAAGGCTCGGTCACCACGGAAGCCACCTGTGGGGTCCCGATCTTCCAGGTTGGCAAGATATGTCGGAAGGGTGAGTCGTTCGTAGAAAATGACATCACGTGCTGCTACTGTTTCTTTGGAGTGGACGTCGAAAATCTTCCACGCGTTGTAATTTCTTTCGATGCCCAGGTGTAGTCCCCACTGTGCGCGTTGGGAAAATCGGCCGGCTCGTGCAGATGGGGGTCGGTACTGTACCATGCAGTCGAAAACTCTTAACATTTTTGTGCTGCCCTGTTTTCCTGTCCACAGCAGGTGCGGTGATGCGCTGTTCGGGAGCGATGATGACGAGAGCAAGTTGTGCAGCATGAGAGCGTGGTCCATTGCTTCGGGCCACTGGTGGTTGGGCAGTCGCATGCCTCGTAGCAGATTGCGCATGGTGTTCTGGAGAGTCTTGTTTATCCTTTCTGCTACGCCTTGCTGCTGGTGAGCGTAGGGAAGAGAGATGAGCCTCTTGATTCCTCTTTCTGCCAAGTACTGCTTGAACCTCTGTGAGGTGTATTCTCCTCCTCCGTCTGACTGGAAGCTTTTTAGCTTCACGCCCGATTCTCGTTCTGCTACTGGGAGCCAAGCGACAAAGGCCTCGAAAGCCATGTCCTTGCTCGGAAGGTTAAGGTGCCAAACGTAACGCGTAGCGGCATCGATGAACGTGATGGTGTAGCTGTATGCTCCTTGTCCAGGTTCGCGATTGTACAGGATGTCGCTGTACACTTTCTCAAGTGGTGCGTAAGCTGGTGCGCTGGGGTTGTGGTGAGAAGTGAATGGTCGATGTGGTAAGTCAGCTTCGGGGCAGGTAAAGCACGTTCCACGAGCTCGTCAAAGTTCGCTTCCGTCGGTTAGGAGCAGCGAATCTTTGTCGAGCACTCCTGCTCTGATTGTGTTGTTTAACACCGTGTTGCTTGGATGTCCCATTCGCGCGTGCCAGATATCTTCGCCAGCTTGATGTCCGGATGAGCGACGGTACAAGTCGGAGTTGGAGTAGAAGCTTGCGGTGAAGTCTGTGCTTCGATGTACTTCTCGTGGTGTTGGTTTAGGCTGCTGCGCAGGAGTCAGTGGAGTGTCGTCGTCGATTGGAGCCGGTGCAGTTGAAGGACCAGCGATTGGTGTCGATGTTACCGCTGCTGCTGCCGTTGTTTCTGCTGCTGCCGATGTTGTCTCTGCTGCTGTCGATGTTGTCTCTGCTGCTGTCGGTGTTGTCTCTGCTACTGCCGAGTGTTGAATCGTTGCTAATGCTCTTGTTCGTTCTGCCTCAGGGATGGTGTGCGAGTACCAGAAGCCTTCGTGGCTGAAGTCAGGGTCGAGATCCGGTGGATGTGTCCAGGAGGTGAAAGTGACGATCCCGTCGCTGTCAGCTGTGCCGAGATCTGGGACGAAGTCGAGGACGAAGACGTTATTTTTCAAGACCGCCTTCCCGATGTAGAGACCGCCCTTCCCGTGGTATAACTTAAACTCCTGAGTGGTGCTGTCTGCTTCGAGGTGTATGCCCTTCGCCATCAGTTGACTAACGCTTAGTAAGTTGTAGCCGAGTCCTTCTGCTATTAAAACCTTCGACATTTGCAGTATGACGTTTGTCTCTCGTGACTGAAGTTGAACTACGCCTTGTCGTCGTGTGCGCAGGTTCTTATTGTTCGCGACGGTGATGACGACTTCCCGCTGGAGTTGGTATTCCCGTTGAACGAAGTGACCTGAAGAGCACATGTGTTGTCCGCAGCAATTGTCCAAGAACCAGGTATCCTTCCCAGACGGTTTGCTTTGGGCGATGGCTGCGTACGTTGGGTTCGGTTGCAGCGACTCTCGACGTGGAGTCCTTTCGTCGAGTTGTTCTTCTGGTGAGTAGTGCGGCGGCGATTCAGTGATGCAGGAGTCGGTTAATCTTGCCATGTAGCTGACGATGTTCCTTGTTCCTTGTGTAGGTTGTCCCGTCGACATTGTTGACGTTTGAACTTGAGTGGTGGAATTTGCTTGCGTTGAGGCGACTTGACTGCTTGAAGGTCGGAGCTGCCGCTGCGTTGGTGCTGACTGCTGCCGGTTAGGGCAGTGTGTGCGGGGATGACCTGACGTCTTGCAGAGATGACAGAACGGAGGTACGGGTTGTTGACCGTGGTACTTGTTTTGCCGATGGTTGTTGTTGTTGTTGTAGCGCCGTTGAGTGTGGAAGGCGAACTCAGGCACTGACGTCTTCCTCTTGTGTTTTTCTTCTTGTAGGTCCATGTCTTGCTGCTCGGCGTGAATCTCGGCGCAGAGAGCTGCTTCGGAGATTTTCCCGTGGGCTCGGAGAATGGCTCGGGTGGAGCGCCATTGCGGACCAAGGCCGCTGATGATGACTGTGACGAAGGCGTCTTCGGATATCGTTCCTCCGCATCGAAGAAGCTTGTCGCGCAACTCGCGACAGCGACTAATATACGCCATCCCTTTTTCGCCCGGTTTCATTTCCACTGTTGTCAATTGCGCCATCAACCGACTCTGATTGATGCTGTCTGTTGCTTGATACAGGTTCTTCAGGTGGTTGTATGCGAGTTCGGCGGAGTTGCCGTATCCCCGGTAAGACCGAATGTTCTGTTGCTGATTCGGGGTGATGTTCCTCAGTAGAATTGTGTACGCCATCATTGACTGATACGTGCACTGCTGTTTGTCGTATTGCGTGTCGTTTGTTGGATATGGCAGGGACCCGTCGAAGAAGCCGAGTATCTGCGCGCCTTCCATCATTAGCTCAAACTCGAATGACCAGGTGAAGAAGTCCTTCCCGTCGAATGGTCTTGAAGTTTGCAGTTTCAAGACATGTGCGAATTGCGACTGAACTTGGAGTGCGTCCAACGTCTTCTCTTGTCCAGGTGAAGGTTGCTGGTGCGGCATGAAGCTGATGGAACCTCGCTGGGGCTCGTACGGAGCGAAGGTAGGCTGCTGCTGTTGATTTCCGCGCGCGTAAGATGAGCCATCGAGACTCATGGGTGTCACGTCGTTGTTGTTGTTGCTGTTGTTTGACTGCTCAGGTGCCGATTGTTGGTGTTGTTCGTAGAAGGACATGAAGGACAAGAACTTCTCCATCATGCTCTGGTCGACACCTGCAGGTTGATTCGCAGGAGTTTCGGTGGACGTTGCCCTTGGTCTTGTTGCCATACCCTCCTCTGTCTGTAGGCCGGAGGCAGGAGGTGGAGTAGGAGTAGTACCGGGAGAGCCGTTAGAGGAGCTTCTCTCCTTCTGCGTTGCCATGCCTTGTGATGTTGTAGGTGTCTTGATTGTAGTTGAATTTGTCCTGATAGCTCTCATACCATGTTGGGCTGAGAAAAACCCTTAGGATCTTTGCAGGACTAAATTCTGAGTAGGACAATGTAATAGCGGAAGCGTTTAATGAGAAGTTTGTGAACCACCTTGCGCTGGTATGTGAGGGCAACGTAGATTGATTAAAACAAAGAGATACAGGCTTTTATAAGAGTACAAGGAATACGAAGAGATATAGTTAATAACCGTTTTACTGTTGCTGTTGCGGTTCGATACAGTGACGACTCGTCGGGCAACTGCTCAATAGCGAGTCAGTTGTTTCTCCTTGCTATCGTGCTGTACTTGTCAGGTCAAAGGTCACTGACCTTTAACTTTGCGTAACCTCCAGCAGTTATTCAACCTCCGAGGGTTGACTCGCTAATTCTTCGATATGTTTCGCTTCGCTTGTGACTTGGTGTTTCGACATGACAGAGGCGCTAAATCAATTGTTTCCAGCACTAGCCATGTGGTTCTTGCGGTCTATTCCGAGCATACACAACCATTTAAGATTCTCTTCTCGATTTGCTTATGCTGTGTGTTTGTCCTCGTCACTGCCATACCTTTCACTATCATTCCCTACCATACCGTTTTTTGCTGTCAGGACTATCAAGAACGGAAACATGCCGCTATCAATTAGCTGCGAGATCAGTCCGATCGGCAGGGTCTGATGGAGCAGAGGTGTGAGCAACTGCATGCGGTTGCTTGGAGGCCAGGAATCAAGTGTGCTGATGGTTGGCTGAGTGATTGTGTATATTTGGCACATGTATGTGGGTGTGAGTGTGTGGGTTTTGCTTTTTGCCATAGGTTTGTATTTGATTGAACCTTGACAATATAATGTATTTTTTTTTTAAAGATTGTGCATGTATCGTGGAATATGTATGCAGTCAGCAGCGATGGGAACTTGGGGGTAGTCTTGTGGTTGCTCAAAGAGAGGCTGGCAGGACGGGGAACTTGGGGTAGACTCGCTTGTAGAGAGCCATGCAGACGGCATCGCGCTGCTGCACCACCCCATCGAACACACACTTGATTGCTCCTGGCAGGCGGTGATGAGAGGTATTGATGAGGGGCATTGGAGTGAACGCAAGAGGGGTGGAGGCAAGGGGGGGATACGGGAGGAGTGAGCACGGGTGAGCACACAATAACACCACCCTGTGGAACACACACTTGATTGCTCCTGGAGGGTGGTGATGGCAGCAAGAGCGGCATTGGGATGGAAGCAAGAGGGGTGGAAGCAAGAGGGGTGGAAGCAAGAGTGGTGGAAGCAAGAGGGGTGGAAGCAAGAGGGGTGGAAGCAAGATGTGTGGAAGCAAGAGGGGTGGAAGCAAGAGGGGTGGAAGCAAGAGTGGTGGAAGCAAGAGGGGTGGAAGCAAGAGGGGTGGAAGCAAGAGGGGTGGAAGCACGAGGGGTGGAAGCAAGAGTGGTGGAAGCAAGAGGGGAGGGGTGGAAGCAAGAGGGGTGGAGGCAAGGGGGGGATACGGGGAAGGAGTGAGCACGGGTGAGCACATGATAGCACCACCCCGTCAAACACACACTTGATTGCTCCTGGAGGGCGGTGATGACAGGTATTGGGATGCTCGCAAGAGGGATACAAGTAAGAATAGAAGCAAGTGGGGGAGATGGATAAGGAGTGAGCACCAGTGGACACACGATAGCATCACACTGCCACACACACGATAGCATCACAGTGCCACACACACGATTGCATCACAGTGCCACACACACGATTGCATCACACTGCCACACACACGATTGCATCACATTGCACCCACACACCCTTTTGAGGCGCCTCAGAAGTCACCATGGTCCATGCCCACCACCACACACCACGGTCCATGCCCACCACCACACACACCATGGTCCATGCCCACCACCACACACACCATGGTCCATGCCCACCACCACACACACCATGGTCCATGCCCACCACCACACACACCATGGTCCATGCCCACCACCACACACACCATGGTCCATGCCCACCACCACACACACCATGGTCCATGCCCACCACCACACACACCATGGTCCATGCCCACCACCACACACACCATGGTCCATGCCCACCACCACACACACCATGGTCCATGCCCACCACCACACACACCATGGTCCATGCCCACCACCACACACACCATGGTCCATGCCCACCACCACACACACCATGGTCCATGCCCACCACCACACACACCATGGTCCATGCCCACCACCACACACACCATGGTCCATGCCCACCACCACACACACCATGGTCCATGCCCACCACCACACGCACCATGGTCCATGCCCACCACCACACACACCATGGTCCATGCCCACCACCACACACACCATGGTCCATGCCCACCACCACACACACCATGGTCCATGCCCACCACCACACACACCATGGTCCATGCCCACCACCACACACACCATGGTCCATGCCCACCACCACACACACCATGGTCCATGCCCACCACCACACACACCATGGTCCATGCCCACCACCACACACACCATGGTCCATGCCCACCACCACACACACCATGGTCCATGCCCACCACCACACACACCATGGTCCATGCCCACCACCACACACACCATGGTCCATGCCCACCACCACACACACCATGGTCCATGCCCACCACCACACACACCATGGTCCATGCCCACCACCACACACACCATGGTCCATGCCCACCACCACACACACCATGGTCCATGCCCACCACCACACACACCATGGTCCATGCCCACCACCACACGCACCATGGTCCATGCCCACCACCACACACACCATGGTCCATGCCCACCACCACACACAGACACTATGTGGAACTTCTGCGTGCAACACAGCACAGCACAGCACCCACACACCCACCCACCTTTGGTGCCCACAGGCTCGCGAATGCGCCCCCTCCGGCCGTACTTGGTGAAGAGCTCCACTGGCTGGTGAGGAGGACGAGGGAGGGGAGAAGTGAGAGTGGGGAGTGGGGAGTGCGGAGTGGGGAGTGGGAGGATGGTTGGTTGCTGCGCACAGTGCGTTCAGAGTGAATGCGGCCGTCCAGCCGTACTTGGTGAAGAGGGAAGAGAGAGGAGAGAGGGGGAGTGGGGAGCGGAAAGAGGGTTGGGTGCTGTGCATAGTGCGTTCATAGTGAATGCGGCCCCTCCGGCCGTACTTGGTAACGAGCTCCACCGGCTGGCGTGGGGGAAGAGGGAGAGGGAAGCGAGAGCGGGGAGTGGGGAGTGGGAAGTGGGAGGATGGTTGGTTGTTGTGCATCGTACATTCAGAGTGAATGCGGCCCGCCCGGCCGTACTTGGTGAAGAGCTCCACTGGCTGGCACGTGGAAGGTGGGGTAAGTAAAGAGAGGAGAGAGGGGAGAGGGGAGTGGGGAGTGGGGAGAGGGGAGTGGGGAGTGGGGAGAGGGGAGCGGGGAGAGGGGAGTGGGGAGTGGGGAGTGGGGAGTGGGGAGTGGGGAGTGGGGAGAAGGGAGTGGGGAGAGGGGAGTGGGGAGTGGGGAGAGGGAAGTGGGGAGAGGGAAGTGGGGAGAGGGAAGTGGGGAGAGGGAAGTGGGGAGAGGGAAGTGGGGAGAGGGAAGTGGGGAGAGGGAAGTGGGGAGAGGGAAGTGGGGAGAGGGAAGTGGGGAGAGGGAAGTGGGGAGAGGGAAGTGGGGAGAGGGAAGTGGGGAGAGGGAAGTGGGGAGAGGGAAGTGGGGAGAGGGAAGTGGGGAGAGGGAAGTGGGGAGAGGGAAGTGGGGAGAGGGAAGTGGGGAGAGGGAAGTGGGGAGAGGGAAGTGGGGAGAGGGAAGTGGGGAGAGGGAAGTGGGGAGAGGAAGTGGGGAGAGGGAAGTGGGGAGAGGGAAGTGGGGAGAGGGAAGTGGGGAGAGGGAAGTGGGGAGAGGGAAGTGGGGAGAGGGAAGTGGGGAGAGGGAAGTGGGGAGAGGGAAGTGGGGAGAGGGAAGTGGGGAGAGGGAAGTGGGGAGAGGGAAGTGGGGAGAGGGAAGTGGGGAGAGGGAAGTGGGGAGAGGGAAGTGGGGAGAGGGAAGTGCTGTGTATCGGTTAGAGTGAATGCGGTCCCTCCTGCCACCTGGTAAAGAGCCCCATCAGCTGGCCAGGGGAACAAGGGAGGGGGCGCTGGAATGTGGGGAAGAGGGAAGGGGGCTGGGCGCAGTGCATAGTGCAAACGCAGCCACCCCACCGTACTTGGTGAAATGATTCCGCAGAAGAGAGGGTCAGATTGGGGAGGGAGGCAAGGGGATGATAGAAGGTTTGCTGATAAGAAGAACGGGGGAAAGGGGGAGAGAGAGAGGGATGAGGGAGACGGGAAAGAGAGTGGGTGGGGTGAGAGGGATGGGAGCGGAGCGCAGGGAAAGGGAAAGGGACGGACGAGAAGGAAAATGGGGATGGGCATGCATGGTGCATGCATGGTCATCATTAAGCTGGTGGGAGGGAATAAAAGAGGGAGATGAATGGAAGTGTGCTGACCTGGACCATCTGACGTGGCACTGACCTGGACCATCCGACGCGGCACTGACCTGGAACCATCTGACGTGGCACTGACCTGCTGGAACCATCTGACGTGGCACTGACATGGAACCATCTGACGTGGCACTGACCTGGAACCACCTGCCATCCTCTGGCTGGTGGAACATGTATCGCACCACTGCCTTGCGCTTCATCACTGACACGGGGTAGCTGGAGGGAAGAGAGGGACGGGGAGGAGGACGGGAGTGAAAGGATGAGTGCACATCTATATGTGAGTATTTTCGGGTGGCTGGTGGAACATGTATCGCACCACTGCCTTGCTCTTCATCACTGACACGGGGAGTAGGGGGAAGGGGAGGAGGAAGGGAGTGAAAGCATGAGTGCACATCAATATGTGAGTATGCCACTGACTTCCACTGCATCACTGACTTCCACTGCATCACTGACTTCCACTGCATCACTGACTTCCACTGCATCACTGACTTCCACTGCATCACTGACTTCCACTGCATCACTGATTCGCGTCACCCTGCTGCACTGCACTCCAGGAGAAAGCACCTATCAATCTAGCCAAGAACAACCTGTCCTCCATATAAGTGCCCAACACCCCAATGCTTCATAGCACCCTGCAGCGCGTGCCTTGCTCGCAATTCAACTCACCCCGACAGCACAATCTTCTTGAGGATGATCCGATCGGGGTCCGGCCCTCTTAAAGCCCCTGTTGCCGCCAGCTGCAGCTCCTCGCCCTCCCCCACCACACTTCCCCCCACCACACTCCCTCCTACACTCCCTCCCCCCACACCCTCTCCTGTGTGCTGATTGGCCGCAGACGGGTCGGCGAAGACGAGGAGGGGGAGCGGCGGGAAGAGCGTGGGTGCGAAGATGGAAGCTACCGCGAACCTTCCGGGGTGCAGGAAGCGCTCGAACTTGTGCTTATCGAGATTGATGTCATCCGTTGAGAAGGTGGGGCTGGGGGGGTGGGGAGGGGGGGGGAAGGGGGGGTTTAGGAAGAGGAGGGGGAGGGGGAGGGGGGGGGGGGGGGGGTTGTGTTGGTCAAAGCACTGAATGCGAGTCACAGCTTCAACTTGTGCTTATCGGGGTTGACATTGTCCGTTGAGAAGGCGGGGCTGGGGGGGGGGGGGAAGGGAGGGGGGTTGGAGGTGGGGAGGTGGGGGGAGAGGGGGAGCACAGTACAATGGTTGAGTTGAGCACAGCACAATGCCAAGTCACAGCTTCAGCTTGTTTCTCGAACTTGTGCTTGTCCTGGTTGATGTCGTCCGTGAAGGTGGGGCTGGGCTGGGGGGGAGGGGAGGGAGGGAGCGAGGGTGGGGGGATGGGGGGGGCGGGGGGGCTTGGTTAAGGCACCAGTGGCTGAAAGCGAGTCATAGCTTCAACTTGTGCTTATCGAGGTTGGCGTCGTCCGTTGAGACGGTTGGGCTGGAGGGGGGAGAGGAAGATGGTAAGAATATGGAGGGTGGGGAAGGGGGGAGAGGGGGGAGGGTGGGGGGGGAAGAAGGGGGATGGAAGTACAGTGTTTCAAGACCAGAGCTTGTCGAGGTCTGATGTTGTCTGTGGAAAAGGTGGGGCTGAAGAGGGTGGGAGGGGAAGAGGGTGGGAAGGGAAGAGGGTGGGAGGGGAAGAGGGTGGGAGGGGAAGAGGTGGGAGGGGAAAAGGGTGGGAGGGGAAATGGGTGGGCGGGGAAAAGGGTGGGAGGGGAAATGGGTGGGAGGGGAAAAGGGTGGGAGGGGAAAAGAGTGGGAGGGGAAAATGGTGGGAGGGGAAAAGAGTGGGAGGGGAAAAGGGTGGGAGGGGAAAAGAGTGGGAGGGGAAAAGGGTGGGAGGGGAAAAGGTGGGGATGAAGAGGTTGGGTGGGAGGGGGTGAAAGGGTTGTTTGTGGTTATTGCCGTCCCTGAAATCTCTCGTGCTGCACTCCCCCCCACCAGCACCTGCACCAGCAGCAGCAGGCGCACTGACCGTGTGTGGACCACCCCTATCAACAGCACCGCACTGCACTGCACCCACCGAGTGTAGAAGCGGCGGAAGCCGCAGTGGAAGAGGAGGCGCTGCTTGGACTTGATGGGGGCAGAGCCACCACCACCACCGACACTCACCACCACCTGCAACCAACACTCACCGCAAGCACCACCACCACCAGCAACCAGCGCTCACCGAGAGTAGAACCTTCGGAAGCCGCAGTGGAAGAGGAGGCGCTGCTTGGACTTGATGGGGGGGGCGAAGGAGTCGGACTTCTTGACTGAGAAGTGCAGCACTGTCATGCGCGTCTCGTGCTGCAGCAGCCCCGTCACGACAAGTGGCAGCCCACGTTTGGTCGCCTCGTGCTGCAGACGCTCTGAGGAAAGGGAGGGTGGGGGAAAGGGAGGGGATCAGGGAAAAGAGGGCCGGCGGAAGGAACTGAAAGAGCCCAGGAAGAGAAAGCAAGGCTCTTGGGGATTAACTTGGTGTTTGTAAATGAAGAAGACCACGTAGCCAGGATAATGGAAGCGAGGTGTACAGCAAGGAATAGGGTTATTGAATAGATTATAATACTGACCGCCTGCATCCCCACCTCCACGGCCCTGCAAGATGCACGCATGATTGCTCACTCACACACAAATGCACACATTGCGGTTTAAACAGTGCAATGCACACTGCCAAACACATGCACATATCGAACGGGACATCATCATCATCGATAGCAAGGTTCATAGAGTACCTGCTTCGAAGCATGGCACGTTCATAATGTGCAACCTGACAAACGTCCCCGCCCCAACCGACCCGGGCACCTCGCCCCGATCCACTGCTGCCGCCCGCTCCTCCGCGGCCTTCTGCGTCCTTTTCCAGTTGTCAAAGGAGAAGATGCGCGCGTATTCGGGGGGGAGGGACTCCTGTGGGCGGCAGAGGGGAGGTTGGGTTGGGGGGAGGGGGAGGGGAAGGAAGTCTTAGTTAAGGGAATGTGTGACATGCTGCACTGCTGTCCTCTCCCCTTGTTGCCTTGTGCGTCCTCTTCCAGTTGCCCAAGGGGAGAATATGCATGCGTGCTCAGGGGGGAGGGACTCCTGTGAGTGGCAGAGAAGTGCAAAGCACACTGCACCAGACAGCACCGCACACAACACCTTGACACGGCCACAATAGCAGCAAGTAACCCATCTTGGGCAGCATATTGCACAGTACATACACCAAACATCACACCGCACAGCACATCACCGCACAGCACCTTGGGGTCCCACGGCGAGGAGCGGAAGGACTTGAGTCCGCGGTACTTGGCAAAGCGCTGGCGGGCCGGGATGTCGTCAGGTGTGTCCACCTCGTCGGGGAATTCTGGAGCAGACGGAGCAGAAGGAGCAAGGAAATGGATGGGGGAGTGGGAATGGGGGAGAGCGGACGGGGAAGGTGAGGTTGGCAAAGTGCTGGTGGGCCGAGATGTCGTCAGGTGTGTCCACCTCGTCCGGAAACTCTGATTGGCGTGGAATGGGGGGTTGGGGACACAGAGAATGGAGGGAATGAAGGATGGGGGAATGAATGAGGTAGCAAAGTTTGGCAATGCGCTGCCGTGCTGAGATGTCGTCAGGCATGTCGACCTAGTCAGGGAACTCTGGAGCAGACGTGCAAGGAAATAGATGGGATGTCGGATGGGAATGGGGGAGCGGGAATGGGCGAGAGCGAATGCAGGAGGTGAGGTTGGCAAAGCGCAGGCGGGCTGGCATGTCGTCGGGCGTGTAGACCTTGTAAGGGAACTCTGGGGTGTGTGGCGATAACAAGGGAGATAAGAATGGAGAGGAATGGAGAGGAATGGAGAGGAATGGAGAGAAATGGATAGGAATGGAGAGGAATGGAGAGGAAGTCTCTGTGATGGAACCAGGTTCTGCCTGGAATTGTCTGGATCGATGCCTCCCTCGGGGGACACTCCTGTCAAAATATGGCTTCACTTGTTTCCTGTAGCATAGACTGGCATTCCTGGGCGAAGATAGATAGGCACCCAAACTTAGTTTGGGTGGAAAACTAGGGTTTACCCTGGTTTGAGGTTGGGTTTCAAGCTTGGGTTTGGACATGATTCCCCCTAAATAGTATCAGCTCACTAAGACCACAATGACTGTCCCCTTCCCAGTGACCTAAATGGTCCTCCTGCTGATGTTGACGCACCTTCAGCCGCTCCATTCAACTCCTCCCAATGTGCTCAAACTGAGACAGCCTACCTATGCGGCTATGCCTACCTACCCTAAAACTCAGCATTCCCATGCCCTACACCACACACCCTGAACCTCAGCATTCCCATGCCCTACACCACACACCCTGAACCTCAGCATTCCCATGCCCTACACCACACACCCTGAACCTCAGCATTCCCATGCCCTACACCACACACCCTGAACCTCAGCATTCCCATGCCCTACACCACACACCCTGAACCTCAGCATTCCCATGCCCTACACCACACACCCTGAACCTCAGCATTCCCATGCCCTACACCACACACCCTGAACCTCAGCATTCCCATGCCCTACACCACACACCCTGAACCTCAGCATTCCCATGCCCTACACCACACACCCTGAACCTCAGCATTCCCATGCCCTACACCACACACCCTGAACCTCAGCATTCCCATGCCCTACACCACACACCCTGAACCTCAGCATTCCCATGCCCTACACCACACACCCTGAACCTCAGCATTCCCATGCCCTACACCACACACCCTGAACCTCAGCATTCCCATGCCCTACACCACACACCCTGAACCTCAGCATGTTGTAATTTCATATTTCATACAACATACATAGGCTAGAAGTGTAAATTGGGGGGTTGCTTAGTGTACCCTCCAACCACATTTTGTGGTTGGTTGGGATTGGTCCTTAGCTCAACCAATCCCAACCAAGACACATTTGTGGTTGCTTGGGTCACAAGCAAGCTCACCCATTGGCCAACTTATTGGCCAATAGGGTAAGCTTCCCTCTCATCTCTCTCTTGCTCATTGTTTGTACTAAAGAGCCTCTTGGCTCATTATTCAATGTATCAATTCTCTCTCTTTTAACATGGTATCATGAGCTAATGGCTCACGCCTACCTCCCTCGGTCCTTAGGCCACCCTCTCCTCCCCGTTCCTCAGATCTAGCCCCACCCACGGAGCTGCCCTCCCTTCACGCGCCCTTTAGGCGCTGTCCTCCCTCCCCGTGCGCCCCCTAAGGCGCTGCCCTCCAAGGCACGTCCAGATCTGCAACTCCAGCGCCCAGATCTGCACTCCCCGCGCTCAGATCTGCAACTCCAGCGCCCAGATCTGCACTCCCCGCGCTCAGATCTGCAACTCCAGCGCCCAGATCTGCACTCCCCGTGCTCAGATCTGCAACTCCAGCGCCCAGATCTGCACTACCCGCGCTCAGATATGCAACTCCAGCGCCCAGATCTGCACTCCCCGCGCTCAGATCTGCAACTCCAGCGCCCAGATCTGCACTCCCTGCGACCAGATCTACTCCTCCCGCGTCTAGATCTGATCATTCCGCGCCCAGATCTGGACATTTCGCACCCAGATCTGCACTCCGCGCGCCCAGATCTGCACCCCGCCCGCCCAGATCCGCCCTCCGCGCGCTCAGATCTGCCCTTCGCGCAACCAGATCTGCACTCCGCGCGACCAGATCTGCCCTCCGCGCGACCAGATCTGCCCTCCGCGCGACCAGATCTGCCCTCCGCGCGACCAGATCTGCCCTCCGCGCGACCAGATCTGCCCTCCGCGCGACCAGATCTGCATCTCCCGCGCTGAAATCTGACCATTTCGCGCCCATCTCTGCACGTCCCGCTCGTTTGCCGCGGGCTGTCCCGCGTGCATTCGCCACGGGCTTCCCAGTCGCGCGGATCTGCCGCACGGCTGCCCTCTTCGTCCCCTCCCCCCCCCCCCCTCTCTCCCTTCCTCCTCCCATTGTACCCGCAGCAGCATCATCAGCGGCACCTCAACGGCACCACCAGCAGCACCCTCCCCCCTTTCCTCCCCCATAGCATCGCCCTCCTCCTCCTCCACCCAACCCACCCCCCGCTCCTCCCTTCCTCCTCCCATCCTACCTGCAGCAGCACCAGCAGCAGCACCAGCAGCGGCACCACCAGCAGCACCCTTCCCCCTTGCCTCCCCCATAGCATCGCCCTCCTCCTCCACCGTCCTCCTCCTCCCTTCCTACCTGCAGCAGCACCAGCAGCAGCACCTGCAGCGGCACCACCAGCAGCACCCTTCCCCCTTGCATCCCCCATAGCATCGCCCTCCTCCTCCTCCACCTTCCCCACCCTCCGCTCCTCCCTTCCTCCTCCCATCCTACCCGCAGCAGCATCCGCAGCGGCACCAGCTGCAGAACCAGCAGCGGCACGGGCAGCAGGGCCAGCAGCAGCATTGGCAACGGTACCCTCGCACCATCCTCCTCCTGCCCTAGCCTCTACCCACCCTCATCTCTATGGCATCGTCGTCCGATTCTTCCGTCGACCTTGCCACTGTTGACGCACTCGAGTTGCTGCCTGACAACTCTGCTGCTAATTGGCACTCTTATGCTCATTCCGTTGAGGTGCTCCTCTCCTCTGTTGTGGTCAGCGGCTACAACCTTCGCTCGGTTGTCTTTCAGGAAGGCGGTGGACTTCAGCCCGTGGCCCCCACCGCTCCTACTGGACCTGCCCCCGCCCACCCTGGCGCCGAGCCCTCTCCCCCCGGTGATCCTCCCACCTTCGCGCCGAATGTCAACGACCCGCAGAGCTCGGAAACCGCCATTCGCACCTACCGCACCAATCTCCAAGAGCACCTGCGCCTGCAATTGCGTTACGAGGACGACAGGCGCATCTATGACGAGGCCGCTGCCCGCTACAACAAGTACCAGGAGGACCTGGACACCTACACTGCAGAACTTGCAGACCACACCACGAAAATTAATGCCTGGCGGGTTGCTGATCGGCGTGCGCTTGCCATTCTTCTCGCCACCATCCCCTCCTCCCTCAAACGCGAGCTCTCACCTACCTCCTCCTCCCACCTGTGGCGACTGCTAGTCGACCTTTTCGATCGGCAAGACGTTGCCACTCTTTACGCCCTTATCAAGGAGTTTGGAACTCTCTCCATGGATTCCACTTCTGGCGCAGCTGCTTTCACTCGCCGTGTCTTAGACCTTGCTCGGCGCCTTGCAACACTCGATGTGGTGTACCCGGACACCGTCATCTGCTGCCACCTCCTCGAGGGCCTCACACCTGCCTTCGACGCTCACAAGCTTGCTTACATGCAGCTTATCTCCAAGCACCACACCCCTGCCGAAGTCGCTCAGTGGATTATCACCACCGAAGCTGAGATCCTTCGCCACTCTTCCTCCACAGCCGCAGCAGCCCAGTCGCGCAGCAGCCGGGGTGGACGTGGCGGTGGGCGTGGGGGTGGGCGTGGTGGTGGGCGTGGGGGTGGACGAGGGGGATCAGCAGGTCGCGGTGGTGCTGGCAGCAATGGTGCGGGTCGTGGTACGGCAGCTGCCTTTCCTCCCTGTCAGTACCTGCCTCGCTACGGTCCCACTCAGGGACAGCGCTGCGGCCAAACCACCCATGCCACTGAGACGTGCTTCAAGGCACTCAGTGATGAGTGGTTTGCCCGTGGCAACACCGGCACCCCTCCTCGCTGGTCCGCCCTCAACCCTCGCCCCACTCCCCTTGAGGTCCGTTCCTCTCCCCTTTATGAACCTCCCTCCTCCACCCACGCCCACCAGGCCCTCGCCCCTCCCCAGCAGCAGCACCAGCAGCAGCAACAGCAGCAGCAGCTTGGGAATCAGCAGCAGGGGTCACAGCAGTATGGGCAGCAGCTTCTCCTCTCTCAGCTCCAGCAGCAGCTCCAGCATCTCCAGCAGCAGCTCGACCTCCAGCCGCAACTGCCCCTCCTCCCTCCTCCTCCGGTTTCCCAGCAGCAGCCCTTTCCTACCTGGACTGCTGGGAGTGCTGCCTCTGCAGCCCATCTCTCGGGTGCGTCCCCGGCGCCGTCTGCAGGTGGCAGTGTGACCGCTTTCCCTTCCTCTGGTCTTGTTGGTTTATTAGGTCAACGTGAATCTGTTGCATCTCCCATGTACCCTTCTTCTGCTAATGAAACTTCGTTCCAGTACTCTGCCTCACCTTCCTCCACCATTGACTTCGTTCTGGACAGTGGAGCCACTGACACTGTCCTTCGCGACGCTGGTACACTGCGCCCTCTCCCCACACCAACCTCCCTCCTCGGCGCTGATAGCAGTTTTTCCATCCCTTGTCACAACACCTCCACCCTTCCCTGTCCTCTCTTTCCCTCAGGTACTGTCACCGGTCTCCACATTCCCTCCCTTCGTACTAACCTCC